AAGAAATTTGATTGAAAAGATAAAAGAGAAAAGACGTCGATTCTTTAAAATACGAAAAAGAATCTTTACCCTCTATTTTCCATTTAAATGTTCCGTTCGATCGACGTTTCGATGTTCAATAAAGCACGAGCTTTCCCTTTTCTTCTCAGGTTTTTCTTTCCTATTATTCCACCCATTCTTATAATTTCCAAGGGGACGAGCGCACAGGTCAATTACAAACGCGGTGTGCAAATATTAGATACCAGTTCGTCCCTGTTCTCGTTCTTTCTTTACTACTGGTAGAATTTACATTTACATTACATTAGCGCGTGTTTACACTGGAACATCAAATATCGAAGAAACAGTTGCTTCACGCGGCGCAAATAGATCGGGCAAACCGTGAGATCTAGTAAATCTAGTAAATTTCTCCGATGATTGGTCAGCGTTATGATTGCTCGTTGCACGTCGTAATTACATCCTGCATCAATTGTCAAACAGTAATTTCAGAGCTTCTCACTCGTTACGTGTTCAGCTTGTTTGATAAACCTTGATCCTATCAATTTTGATCCTCGATCACGTGCAGGATATCCCATTGATATGCACTACTGTTTAGAACTGTTTGCCTTGTTTCACCCACTCACGGGCAGGATGTGATTTAGTCAGAAAATTGAAACACGAAAGACGCCGCTTTGCAGACTTTTTCAATTAAAATTAAATTGAAATTGAATTACGCAGACTGCGGATGGAAAATGCGAATTTCCACGAGTGCAATTGTTTGGATATTTCTGTATCATTACTCTTTCCAGTATTTTGTGGAATTGTGAGCGGCGAGAGCAAAGATTGCTTTAGAAAATGTAGAAAAGTGTCTCGTGGAGATACGAAATTGAGATATTCATCAATGCCTGGACGTCGAGCAAGATTTGTTCAACGAATGTCGGGAGTTTTTACTTCGCGCGGATTCCCTTGTCACGTGTGTTTGAACACATTGTTGGATTGGCGAGTATTGAAATTATAGGGTCAACGCGGAGGTCGCGTCGAAAACTGGAGTTCGGCCAGGGTCGGGCCACGCTTGCCAGAAAAGATCCAGCATACGAATGCAACATACGATAAGTATTCTCGCGATGTGGCGTTTGTCATAAAGTCGATGGGGATACATTCGGAAGTAAGGGATTTCCAACTGAAAAGGGGAATCTTCCCTCGAGAGGATTTACGTGCCTTTTCGCGTTTCGTCTCGTCTCGTCTCGTTTCGTTTCGTTTCGTTTCGTTTCGTTCCCTCGAATAAGCAAGCGGAGGAAAGCCAAGCGATGGAGAAATTTGCTCGTCGACTGGAAACGACGCCGTTATTCCCGGCGATACGGGGTCGTTCCAAGAAACGATAATGCTGCATTGCGTATATATCTGTTTAACGCTGTCGATATCAAAACAGTCGTTAAACCATCTTTACAGTGTTATAAAAAATGCGTACAGTAGTTAGAGGTTACCGTTGTGTGTCTGGTATTGTTAGAACTTAGTTATCCTCGGTGAAAGAGTATACCGAGTTAACGTTTTCGGCCATTTTCTGTTCTTTAACACGTTCCGTGCCATGTGTACCAGCGGTGGTACACGTTAAACTTGAT